ATTCTATGATGTGCACATATATTAACAGCCCACAAATAGCCCAGAATTAGATGTGAGCTGATATCTTGCATTAAAATGGCTGGATTACTATTCCCGTAATTTTTTACTATTGGCCATATTGGCTGTGGTTGATGGGAGTTGTTGTCCAACTGGAGTGCCACAAGTCCCCCATCACTGGCCTATTCCATTATTACTTCATTTAAGAGGATTCCTAAGGTGTTAAGATAAAATCAGATAAGCAGAATATGGTGATCATCCCATTGTGGAATGCACTGAATGTGTGAATTCAAGCCACTACCACCACACTTCAGAATGTCCACTTAGGAGTCTCTGTTTCCTAAGATACTCTGGGCATAGAATCACCACCTTGGCTCTGGTCCAAGAGTCCCCCACTCCTGACAGATGGCATATGGTGCAGGTGAACAGAGTAGAACAGGCTCAGAGAGCTTGTTGAGCAGGCAAATGGAGAAAGCACACATGAATGGGAGGCAAAGAAAGAGGTCTTTCATTTCGGCTCCCTCCTTCTAAGCATTAAAGCCTGAACTTTGACACTGGACTCTTGTAGTACATCTTGTTCCCATGAAAGACTTGAACTTGGTGAAGCAATGCTTTTTTTTTTATTATCGATTCGGCTTTTGATGGTAAGTGTGAGCTCCAAATAGCTCTTCTTTTGTCCGGAGAAATAAAATAGGTCAACAAGCAACTCAAGAGTAGGTGTTCTGGATGGGACCTTTAAGTGTGAGGCCCTGGTTATTTTTCCATTTCCTTTGGACGCTTGCCATTTTGCACAATGAGGGTGAGGCCTAGTTGTGGGGTGGAGGAGGGGCAACCTTCCCTGGCCACAGAATGTGCAGTGGTACAAATGAGTATCGAATATCACCCATCATGGTAATAGTTACTTAAAGTGCATTTTTATTTGAGCTTATTCAGAAGCGAGGCCCACTATATTCAATAGGCATGATCTCAAGGAAGTGTGCATAGGATTGCACTCTTTTGTTTTTATTTTCAGTATGATATAATTAAGTATGTTTTCACAGTGGCAGGAGAAAAGCTGGATATAAAATTCTTGTTTAGGGGCTTGGTTGGGGTACAGGGTAGTATCATTGCCACCGACAACAGAACCCAGTAGAACCCACTGAATATTGCAGTGGGGTGAAGAGAAAACCAGAAGATATCAGTTTCCTAACAGCAGCAACCAGTATATCCTCTCCTAGTGTAGCTTTGAGTAGTGAGAATATCAGCAACATCTCTCTCGCTAAAGGTCCACATTCAGTGGCGATGCTGCATGGTCCGGCACCGGGGGCGGAGAGCAGGCGGGGGAGTGGCTGGTGCGTGTCCCGGGGTGTGTGGTGTGGTGTGCATCCTGGGGGCATGGTGCATAGCCCGTGGGAGCGTGGCACCAGGCGCAGTGGGGGGTGCGCATGGCACATGTCCAGGGGGGTGGCAGCGATGTTACCCCCTCCTCTTTGGTGCCGGGGCAGTGCGCTCCCCCACCCCTTCCTCCGCCACTGTTCACATTCATTCTTAAATCACAACTCCTTTGTTGGCCCATGGTGGGGTGTGTCCAGGAAACGTCAGCTATGACACTGCCATTTGGTGCACTAGAAGAAGTCCTCTCCCAAATGAAGACAAAGGAAACCATTGGGTAGCTGTCTCTTAGGTGTAAAGACAAAATAGGCAGCTGTGCAGATGGATATGGACTTGTATTTGATTAGACAATGTCAGCCATCTGCCTGCGGCGTCCCACCCCCCATGTTCCTGGGAGCAATTCCACGTCAAGATGTTGAGTCGTTCCTAAGTTTTTAGTAAATAAATAAAGAAGCAAGTGCTCCTAATGCAGATTGCATGCACAACCTGTTTTTTTTATGATTTTCCTTCTAATGAAATAAAGCCAAATTTCAAACCTCTGTTGTGTGCTGTGGTGACTCTTGCCCACCTGCACACCATGTATTTTAAAAGTTGCAAAAAGTAAATAATCTGCAGACCAAACTCTCTGAATCCTTTTTGTGCAGACATCTATGATGATTTACAGGATAGTTGCTACGCTTACCCCATCAATTTACCTTCTCCAGTTGTAATATTTTCCACAATGTTTTCAAGGAACAAAGCAAAATGTTCCTGGGATTTACACTAGAAGGTGCCCCAGCTAGCTAATTAAAATAGTTCCTGTAGGGAAATGATAGGGGAAAATACAGGATGGAATGGGGGGGGGATTTATTTCATATTTGAACATTCAGGTCCACGGGCATCTAATTGATATGAAATATAATAATCCATACAGAGTAGGTGGAGCCGTATATCTGAATATGAATGAAGTTTTTAAGTGCCTAACAACAATTTCTGGACGCTGAATATTAAATCACAGCTGGTATGTCAGATACTATGAGAAGCAGAGAAGATGCAAAACAGAACCTTACATGTGTATTTCCAAGTGCAAAACACAACGCATCACAGTAAGGAAATACTCAGAGAGTGGATGAGAGGAACAGACTGCCTTATGGCTGCGTTCCTGCCCAAAGATACAGAAGATGGAGATCCTTACTTGCAGGAGAATGCTTGCCTGGTTGCTGCTACCTGTATAGACACCTGCCTTGCACAGGTAATTTATTTTATGGGGAAATGGCTGCACCCAGCAGACACAGAAAGGTCCTTGCAACAGGTCTGTCCTAATACCAGGAAGCAGCAGACATCAGGAAAAGAGAAGGGCCATAGCTCAGTGGTAGAACATGGCCTCTCCATGGAGAGTTGGGAGACACTCCTGGCTGAAATCCTGAAGAGCAGCTGCCAGTCAGTTTAGAGAATATGGAGCTAGATGGACCAGTTTAAGGCAGCTTCCCATGTTTCTAACTTCAATAGCTGTATTTATTTGTGAACAGCAGATCAACAACTCAGCGCAGCAGATAGGACTTGCTGCACATGCAAGACTAAGGCTTGGCCATTAGGCTATCAAGAAGTTCAGGCCTAAGTGAATTTAAGGTTAGAAATGAGAGAAACTCGAGAGAAGCTGAAAGTGTCAGATTCATCCATCTCTAGCTACATATATTCGTAACTTTATCTCCCCCAAAGTACGGTTGAGGCTACTTTGGATCATGCCCAAATCATGGGCTTAGGCTGAATCCATGGCATTTGGCTCCACAAATTGTTACCAATCCTCTCCCTGACTGTGCAAAGAGCATCTGGGGGAATGCACAATAGGCAATGTTTACATTTAATGGTGTTTGTGTGTATTTGTGAATACATGGTAGGAACTCCAATTTCCTACCTAATATTACCGAGGCCGGTTGAAAACATTTCATCGTCTGAAATGGCAATGGTTTAACCAGCAGCTTTTACATCCAATGATAAGAAATACAGTAAGTGTAATCTTTAACAGTCACAACTGGTCCTGCTGACAGGTTGCTATTTTATTCCTTGGGGGGCAAATTACTTTGAAGAAAGTGACATGGTGATTCAGTGCAACTCAGCTGCCTGGTAGAGTTCAGCTGAGGACTCACCTCTGACTCACCCAGTCAGTAGGTAAGGAAGGACATGCATTACTGAGCAAGGAAACGGCTTCTTAGCTTTCGCCAGAGACTTGAGGATGGAAAAACTCAGGAGGTGGCTGGGTGGGGGCAATGAAGGAGGTGAAAAGGGGAAAGAGGAAAAAAAAACTTACTCTGGTGGTCTTGACTTTATTGCCGGTTGCACACATCCATCCTGAGTTGTCAGGTAACGTCTTGCATTCCTCGCCCTCTAGGCATGGCTCCATCTCACACCACCATTTCCCAATGACTATTGATGCTAAGAGACACAAAACAAGCAAAATATTTGTGAACTGGTTTTTTGTTTGTTTTGTTTCAATTCACTTCGCTCAGTCTGAATGCAAAAGCTTCCTCCAGATCTCAACAGATTTTTAATTTTTTTTTACGTTAATCCAGCTGCTGTCATACAGTCAAACCTCGGAACTCGGACATAATCTGTTCCAGAAAACTGTTCGACTTCCGAAATGTTCAAGTTCCGAGGCGCAGCTTCCGATTGGTTGCAAGCGCTTCTTGCACTTCCGCATTGGACATTTGAGTTCCAAGGAACGTTCGAAAACCGGAACACTTACTTCCAGGTTTTCGGAGTTCGGGAACTGAAATGTTTGGCAACAGAGCTGTTCGAGTTCTGAGGTTTGAACATTTGACATTTGATTTCCAGGTATCTTATATTATTGTTTATCTGATTTTAATTATGTTGTTGTTAGATGCATTTAAATGAATACTGCAAGCTAGCTCAGGACTTGGATGTGTAAGATTAAATAAATAAACAAACGAATAACTTAATTCCACCCCCCAAAGTGGCTTGCATGGGTGATGGTTTAGTGCCTTGTACCAATGTTCATTTCACTCCCATGCACTGAAACCCATCTGTAAGAAAAACATAGAATTACCCATTTGTAATGATAGTGCATTCTGCCTCCAGGGCCATACAATATTCCTTGTATTGCCACCCATATTCTAAATCACTCGGAATTGAAATTCTCTGATGTTGACTCCGCAAGGGAGACTGCTCCCCTCTGCACGCCATTCCAATTTTACTGCATATTTTTGTCCCCAGTTTTCCATTGTGGTACATTAAAAAATGGATGACTGCCAAGAAGGTTCGCCTGCAGTAACTCTGCATTCTCTTGATTGTCACCAAACTAATTCCCTTTTCTTATGAACGCTCCTTTCAGTCTCTGGTCCAACTTGCTCTGCTAGAGGTATAAATATATACTTTCACAGGCTTCACAAGGTAAGCAGGACACAAAATTGGAGGAAGGGCCTTTTGTGTATCCAAAATGAGGTCAGGGAGTTCTTCCTTAGAAATTCAAGTTTGTTTCTGCAGCAAAGATTCCAATGCCTACTGAAACAGCACCAATGAACATTGTGCATGGATGGTAGACCTAACCACATAGGACCCAGGAAGAGTGGACCTCATCAGTTCCAGCCCAGCATTCAGTCTATTTCTGGGCAGCTAACAACCAGACAAGGGAATCATTGGAAAAGCTAGTGGTAGAGCATATGCTTTGAATGCAGATGGTTCTAGGTTCAAGCCCTGGCATTTCCAAAGGAAAGACCCCTGCCAGAAACATTGAGGAGCTGCTCCCAGTCATTGCAGCACTGGGCTAGATGGATCAATGGAGCGGCTCAGTATTTATTATTTTTTAAACAAATTCTAAACCACTTCACAGCATGAAGCCATCGAAGTGGCGTGCAGAATTAAAATAGAATAAAACACAAGTTCTAAAAACGATAAAATCATTTCAATGAACTCTTTAAAAGGATAGAACATTCTCTACAAATTCTATCCCCACCACATACAACCATTTCTGCAGATGTGCAATTAAGAGTCACCTTCTTAAGTGAAAATGTCTTCAATATAAGGAAAATTCCTCCATATGAATATTATCACTTACTGTTCTGCATAGCTGTCAACTTACAGATTTGAAAATAAGGGACCAGCAGCCTCAAAAATAAGGGATCAGCTGCCAAAATAAGGTATTTTATTCAACCAGCTCCTTTCCTTTTCCCCATAACAGTCAATCGAAGGAGCCTCCAAAACAAATCCAAAAGCCCCCCTCCCACGAGATCGCTGCCCGCCATTGTACTCAACCAGCTCCTTTCCTTTCTCCCCACCATGTGCCCCCGCTTCAGACAGACCTTTTCCCCGGCAAGGGTGAGTGGGCCGCCAATGACATATCCATCAGATTCCGAGCACAGGTATGTTCAACTTCTGAGCCCCTCCAAGCCAAAGGCAGAAAGCCCAGCCAGCAGCCTAATGTCAAGTGGTGGTTCCCACAGCGCAGCAACCCGACAAAGGCGATGCAGCAAGGAAAACCACCGTCACCTCTCCGCTGGGAAGCGCTGAGCAAAGGTGAGTCCCCAGGCAACGCGGCCGATTTGATCGGCACGAGGCATGCAAGCTCCACCCCCCAGTCATTTTTAGACTCCTTATTGGGTGAGCAATGCAGCCAAGCAACACAGTTGGAGCCTCCCTCCTCCCTGGCCGGCAGGGAGGGAGGGAGAGGAGCTGCTTCCTTTGAAACCTGGGAAATTTAAGGGACATCATCAATAAGGGACAACAGCGGGACACGGCGCTGGGATAAGGGAGTTTCCCGCCAAATAAGGGACGGTTGACAGCTATGACTGTTCTGGCTACAGTGCCAGATAAACAGAAGTGGGCCACTGTTGTATATGGCGAACGGTCATTGATACACCTGTCTGGCTACCTTTTACTATGGGTGAAATCGTTTGCTAAATTTCTCCATGACTCCGTTCTTTCTTTTAGTATTTGTTGTGAGATTCGCTTTAATTCTCCTTCAAGAACCATCCCGTAATGGTCTTCATCAGTCCTTCGTCAAACACAGTATGTGAGAAGAAATGATCACAGCCAAGACAGCAGTGCTTATTTAATCAACAGAAGAAGTCAGTCCTAATGCAGAACTCAGAGGCTTGAACTGCCTTGCCAGGGCAAAATGCTATTAATGGCGGCGGCGGGGGAACTAGGAAGTTATCTTTGCATTCTCCCTCAGGTAGCAAGAAGTTCTAGGGTCAGTGCTACTAGACTTAGCTTTGTTTGGATGAGGGAGCACGGGAGGCTTAAGGTGTCTTTGCAATATTTGCTTTATTGATGTGGAAGCAGCCTTTGGTCCATCTACCTCAGTGTTGACTACGATGATGGGCAGTAGCTATCCAGGGGTTCAGGCAGCTGTCTTTCCCAGCCCTACCTGGAGATGCTGGGGATTGAACCTGGGATCTTCTGCATGCAAAGCAGCAGATGTTTTACCATTCAGCCACAGCTATTCTCTTCAAATACACACATACAGCAGAACTGAAAGGAAGCAGACACTCATAGAAGGGACAAAAACTAACAAACCTGGTAGCCAGTTGGTAGAGAATGAGACTCTTAATGGGTTGTGGCTTTGAAAGATTCCTGTATTGCAGGGGGTTGGGCTAGATCAGCGGTTCTCAACCTGTGGGTCCCTGGATGTTGTAGGACTACAACTCCCATCATCCCTGAGCTCTGGCCTTGCTAGCTAGGGGTGATGGGAGTTGTAGTTCAACAACATGTGGGGACCCACAGGTTGAGAACAGCTGGGCTAGATGATCCTTGTAGTTCCTTCCAACTCTACAATTCTATAATATTATGATATTATGATTCTATGACATTCGGAACAGAAAAGCAGGAGATCTACTATGAAGGGCTAGACCTCAGAAAGATCCTTGGGGAATATCTCATGACTTCAGATGGAGGGAAGACAACTCTCTACAGTGCTTTCTTCATATTTATGGTAGCTGTCCCTGGATGTAACCAAATCCTGTTATTGCTGACCTTGATTGAAAGAGCAAATAAATGCTCATTCACCTCATCAAACGCCCATCTGGCATGTAACCTTTTAGCATAAACATTCACTTGTGGTAGACAAAGGATGCCTTTGCAAATGCAAGCACACCGCCACAGAGGATGTCTTTAATGGAAAGCTCAGCAATGCCACAGATTACTTCGACAAATGAGCCCGGGCTGGTAAATGTCAATGGTATCAGCAAGGATAAAACCAAAATAAGCCTTTAGGATACAGTACAGTCTGGAACTGTCTCTGTTTCAGCAACCAAATCCTAAGCCTCAGGACTCTTGTCTATGCGGTGCAAGGGGTTTGATGTATGGGATGACACATGGGTGCCATGTTTGTGGCCAGTGGTGGCTGGTTTCACTGGGGTCGGTAGGGCAGAACACAGGGAGGTCAGCAGTAGGTGGAGGCAGAGCCAACAAAGTCTAGTTTTGTCCCCCTGCTGAGGTCTACAAGGGTTGTGCTGAGACTGAGGAGCAGGAAGTTGACAAGAAGTGCCTGGGCTGGTTGTAAGTAGGAATGTTGGCAGCTGGGCATCAGCTGAGGTAAAAGGTAAAAAAAGTAAAGGACCCCTGGACTGTTAAGTCCAGTCAAAGGCAACTATGGGGTGCAGCGCTCATCTTGCTTTCAGGTCGAGGGAGCTGACATTTGTCCACAGACAGCTTCCCTGGTCATGTGGCCAGCAGGACTAAACAGCTTCTGGCACAACGGGACACCGTGACAAGTGCCAGACTGCACGGAAACACTGTTTACCTTCTCACCGCAGTGATACCTATTTATCTACTCACCCTGGTGTGCTTTTGAACTGCTAGTTTGTCACAAGCTGGGACAGAGCAATGGGAGCTCACCCCATCGCACGGATTTGAATCACTGACCTTCTGATTGGCAAGCCCAAGAGGCTCAGTGGTTTAGACCACAGTGCCACCTGCATCCCCTATACCTGAGGACAGAGTGAGGTTGGTGGGGCATCCTAATGGACCAGCCACCTCTGCAGATGCAATGGCTCTGGACACACACACCATTCCCTTTAAAGCACAGTGATGCTGCTTTAAACAGTTATGGTTTCCCCTCAAGAAATCTGGGAGGTGCCCTTTGTTAAGAAGGCTGAGAGTTGTTTGGAGGCCCCTATTTTCCTCACAGAGAGACAGTTCTGAGAGTTCCTTGGAGGTGGATGCTGGGAGTGGTGAGGTGAGGTGAGGTGTTGGAGGCCAGAGCTGTGGGTGCTGTGTCCTACGTCCTCTAAGCAGGATTGCAGCCCTCAGGTGTGGTGGAAGATGCTGTCCCATCAGCAGCGTTGAAGAAGGCTCAGTTGGCAGCCCAACCAGCTTCTGAACATAGAATGAGTGGGGTCACCATCTTGTCCTTTGCCTCAGGCAGCAAAAAGTATTGGGTTGGCTCTGTGAACTGTCATGGCTTTCCTCCAAGGAACCTTGGGAGTTGGAGTTTTTAATGCTTCTGGGACTCTTTAAGAAATAAAACTACAATTCCCAGCATGGCTTGCTTTTCTAGTGTGTTAAACTGTATAAGCCTTTCTAAATCGTTTTCTGAATTCCCAGTCATAAAGAGGCCTGAGGGATATTGTTCTCTTGACTTGCAGATTGTCTGCTGTCTCATGCCATGTAACGACATGCAAAAATATTTGAATCTGACCCATTTTGATTTCTTTCTGCAGCTATTAAGAAGCTGTAACAAATGCTAGCAGAGAGTTGCATGGCAAAAACCAGCGCGGCGTTCTCAGCAGTAATGGAAAAACAGTTGTACCATTTAGCGCGAGGCATTTCATTTTAATCTAGTTCCCTCTAGAGAAGATTGAAATAAATAAAATTTAAATAGAGAACACATTTTAGATGCTGACAGTGAAAAGGACTTTGTCAGCCTAATGAAAAGCTATCAATTTTCTCCTCTTCATTCAATAAATTGCGAGTCATATTCTAAATGGATTAGATTAAAGGAAAATCCAAACTCCCCGTGAGACATTCTCACAAATAATGGGAGACTTTATACAGGGAGCAAAGTCTTTTGCAAAGCAGGTTCAAATCTATACAAAACTGATATGAAGTAGTAGAGGAATGTCTGTAACCCAGGGCTCACCTATTCCTTAAAAAACAAGGTTTGAGAGAATTGAATGAGACATTCTGCTTCTTTCTCTTTTTTATTACAAATGCCATGGGGGGCAGTGTGTGAATTGCCATCTTGGGAATGTGGAAATTTTAGAAGGAAGGAGCAAAGACTAGAATGAAAGAATACAGCAGCCCAAGTGTTCTGCATTTCACAAAGAGACATGAGGATTCATTTGCTTTGGGAACTATAAAACAGGCGCTTGGTAACATAAAAGAATACAAAGTAGAAAACAAAGGGTTCAGGGGTTGAGAAAAAGCTGCTTTAAAGAACCAGGAGATCTTAACCAACAGGGGAGTCTGCTAACTTCTCTCATTTAATTGAACCCAATTCCACCCAAGAAGCATCAATTCAGGGCTAGCGCAGCACAGTGCTTCACAAAATGGGATAACCGGGCACTGAGGACAATGACAAGAGAATGGCTACCCATCCATGATATCTAATATATACCCATATAGCCTATAGCAGGAGTCAGAAAACTTTTTCAGCAGGGGGCCAGTACACTGTCCCTCAGACCTTGTGGTGGGCTGGACTATATTTTGAAAAAAAATAAATGAACAAATTTCTATGCCCCACAAATAACCCAGAGATGCATTTTAAATAAAAGCAAACATTCTACTCATGTAAAACACCAGGCAGGCCTCGCAAATAACCCAGAGATGCATTTTAAATAAAAGGGCACATTCTACTCATGTAAAAACATGCAGGCCGGATTTAGAAGGCGATTGGGGCGGATCCGGCCCCTGGGCCTTAGTTTGCCTACCCATGTCCTATAGGATCTGTGGCATTCCTAGCCCACAGCATGCCTGCAGATCGGGGAGAAAATCATTGCAACCCAGTAGCTGGTGTGATTTGAACCCTTTAATTGCCCTCCCAGCAGAAACAATGGGAGGTCACTCTTGTGGGGTGAGGTAGCCTGGAAAAGAGTGGAAGCCTTCTCCCAACTTCTTGTCCGCTGGCAAAAGCCCAGTAGGGCACACGGTTGGGGTGGGAAATGTCATCCTAGGGAACCAACTGCAGCCCTCCAAGCCTTTCTGCAGGCCACCTCCACTCACCGGCCCTGCTTCTCATCCTCCCTGAGTGTTTTTGCCAGGCCGGAATGCACCCTTGAACTCTGACAATACCTTTTGCTTTACTGGATGGAGGCTGGAGAGGAACAGGTGAGCACACGTAGAAACTATCCTACTGTACAATGGTAGATTTGCATTTGTTGCTCCACCCACTTTTGCCTCTGCCCCCACCCACCACCAGCAGGTAGCTTCTGAAGGTTGGTCAGAAGCGAATGCAGGCGTCTGGCTGAAACAGGATCCTTACCCTTCAAGGAGGCAGGCAGACCACCTTCAGTTCCCCTAGCCCAAAAATGGAAAGACGACAAGATACCAACGAAAGAAGAATGGCAAGCCAAACTTATGGAATATGCAGAAATGGCGAAATTTACGTGAAACATACTCGGAGTTGAGTGTGGATTTCATGCTCTTTATTCAGCTCATAGTAGTGAGGAATGAAAGTTTCCCCAAAATATCTGCTTTATATACATTATTTACACAATGGGTCGCACGTGATTGGCTAATTCTGGGGTTCTCCTGTAGGCCAATCAGGTTGCGGATTCACTTCCACCTGGAGCTGGATTGGGTGGCTCCTGCGGACCAATCATACTGCTGCATTGTTCTAGGACCAATCAGGCTGCTGCATTCTGAATCCTATTGTTCTAGGAACAATCAGACTGCTGCTTTTTGGATCCTATTCAACTCAGTACATAACATTATAGGAAGAATCAGAGTCAACGACAATGAAGATTTTAAAAAAGACTGGGAACCCTTCATGTTCTACCTACAAAAATACTGTAAAGAAATGGACTCACTAGCAGGGTTTAATTAAACACTTACAACTAAGAAAACCAGTTCAAAGGTTAAGAAACAATAATATGAAACGTAACTGAGTGTAAGAGGTAACTATGAAAGAAAATTTGGTATAAAATTGATAAGAAAATAAGAGCATTTAGATGTAAGATCATAAAAATAAGACAACAATTAAGCAGAAGTAGTAAAAATTTTAAGAACCAGAAGGGGAAGTTGAGGGAAGTCAGAGTGTGTGTGTGTTCTACGATAAGTGTTATATTGTGTCTGTGGTTGAATATTAGATTGTAAAATTCAATAAAAACTTTTTAAAAAGTGATTTTGTGGACACTGCTATATGTCGCTCCTGTTTCCAAAGACTTGCTATGTTGTTGTTGTTTTTTGGCTCAGGAACTTAAGCTGCCAATTTAGAGGGTAATAAATGGAATTGCCATTATTTTTCCAGCCACATCCAGTGACCCTTATATTGATCAAGATA